AAGGTACATCCAAGCATGATCTTCGTACATGATACCCCTTATATCTCCCGTACAGCGCGAATCCTTGTATCCCTCCGCCGGAGATCCGAATCGCAGGGTATATATGGAAGATCATCCCAAGGAAAGATCTGTTCGATGCTACTTTCCACGTATACTTCCTTGGGAAGGAAGCTTGGCGCTTCTGGATGCCCTCCCGACCCAAGTGAGGATGGGTGAAGACAGGTTGCCGTCTCGGAGTCGGAATGAAACAGGACGATCCAACCTCAAACCCCTGGATCCTCTTATCTGGGATGTGGTGTGGTGACTATTGAGAGCACCCGTTGGTCAGTACGGGAACCATCTTCAATATATCACCAGCATCGGTACAGCTCAGAGGTGAACGTGGCTCCCGGGCAGAGGTCGCATTAGTCCTTCCCACGGATGTATACAGGACCAATCACCAGGCCGTCAAGCATCGTGGGGCCAAGCCTTACCTGCAGATCTGTCGGAATGAGACCAAATGCTAATGACGCGGCTTGACTAGGATCGTGGATGCAGTTGACAACTTTACCTGCCGTCGCCCAATAACGTGCGTCGGAATCCTTCCCTCAGGTCTCCAATATATTACATGTCCGTGAGCCATGCATGCGCGATTCTGGTGGGTTATCGACCCCGGCTATCTGGCGCGGAGACCGTTCTGGAGGAACAGTTCCCCTATGTTTCAGGAGGAACAGCAAAAAGTAACACGGTATCCGAAGGTCTAGATGGTTCGCAGAAGTTTCCTCGCCGGTGCGATTGTTCTGGAGAGACCGCAAACGGCCGCCTGAGCGCCATCCGATCTCATGCAAGTCAGGAGGGATTCGGTACTATTTACAGAAGCCTAGTTCGAGGTCGTGGCTTCTCGGTTCCAAGGATGCATCAGCCCATCGCGTCATGACGAACTGCAAAAAGGCCTGAGCTGATCATCTCCCATTGCGGAAAAGAAGGAAGAAAAAGAAGTTGATGGCCAGCGTTGCACGAAACGATCTCCACAATTCCTCAAATTCAATCTCCGTGACATTAACTCTTTTTGTTTTTTTTGCCCGGTTTCCTTGTGAATTTATTTTAAATAACGCCCGGTGACACTTCCCCCTGGAAACTCACCAGCCCCGTCGACGAGGTCAGCATCCGTCTTACATGCGCAGTACTCCGTACACCGTACAAGTTCTACACATCCGCCATCTACCGTCGACGCGGAGTCTTACGCCACCAAAGCGCCGTCGTCATTAGCTCCACCCCAGTAGCCTCCGCCCTAACTTTTTTTTCCCGGTATCTCCTGGTCACTACCGCTCTTGCTGGTCTATATCTTATTTTCTTGGTCTCTCTTTCTTTTCTGGTCCTTCATCATTTCCACACTGCAGGAATAGTGTCTCCTACAAACAATCAACTCGCCGCAGCAGCCGAAGCTCATCGTGCCAACAGTGTAACCGCTGCGACAAAACCATTGTTCGCAGTTGATTGAATTCTTGTACCTCGGTGTTCGTTTGTCTATTTATCTAAATTACAACAAAGTGCAGATATGCGCGATTTCAATAACCATTGAGTGGGACGCAAACTGAGATCCATATCCATACCGAATCCACTGGCATTCATTGATCGTCGGCGGAGTTTGCCTACGTGCAAGTGAATTGCAATCCCCTGTCGATCAATTCGCACCAGCCATCTTCAACACCCATCATGCTCACATACCGAAAGTCGCTCATTGCGGCCCTCTGCCTGATCACCTTCGTCGTCCTTCTAAGATCCTCCCATTCGACTTCCTCCCCCTCGCCATCCCCTGCACCCGTATACATTCCCGAGGAGGGCATCCACAACACCAATGAAGTAACGGAGGAGCACTCGCCAGGGCAGAAGAAAGACGCTATACAACAGCCCCTCAAACCCTCCCCGAGCGCACCCTTGCGCGAACGGTTACGCTACCATTTCCCTTACGATCTTGATAAGAAATTCCCCGCATACATCTGGCAGACATGGAAATATACCCCCGACTCAGTGTGGTTCGGCCAAGAGCTGCGCGGCGCGGAGGCAAGCTGGACTGAGCTCCACCCCGGCTTCGTCCATCAGGTGGTTCCGGACGACACCCAGGGTTACCTCATCAAATACCTATATAGCTCGCTTCCGGATGTGTTTGAAGCCTATGAGTCCTTGCCGTTGCCCGTTCTGAAAGCCGACTTCTTCAGGTACTTGATCCTGCTGGCCCGCGGCGGAATCTATAGCGACATCGACACCAGCGCTTTGAAGCCGGCTGCCGATTGGCTGCCCGCGACCTACGACCTGTCCACGATCGGGTTCGTGGTCGGTATCGAGGCGGATCCCGACCGTCCAGATTGGCATGACTGGTATTCACGGAGAATCCAATTCTGTCAATGGACCATTCAATCCAAACCGGGCCATCCGATCCTCCGCGACATCGTGGCCTACATCACGGAAGAAACATTGCGCATGAAGAAGGCCGGGATCCTCAAGGTCGGCAAGATGGATAAGACCATCGTGGAGTTCACCGGACCGGGCGCATGGACAGACGCCATCTTCCGATATTTCAACGACCCAGATTACTTCAACATCGAACCCGATTCGAACCACAACATCACCTACGAGGATTTCACAAACCAAAAAGACTGGAGAAAGGTCGGCGACGTGGTGGTTCTACCCATTACGAGCTTCAGCCCCGGCGTTATGCAAATGGGTGCAGGCGATTACGATGATGAAATGGCCTTCGTCAGGCACGACTTTGAAGGTAACTCCGCTCTCATCCCTGGTTCTGGTACCAATACTAACGATCGTGACCAGGAACATGGAAAACAGACCCATCATTATAAGAAGCTGGCTCCTACCACTCACCCAACTTACTCCGGAGATTCAAGACTTATCATCTTAGCTCTGATGAGCTATCGACAGCGAGAGCAAGCTCACATGTCGGCTCTTTCACCTCTACTCTACTCACGAAAAGTCCGCTCGACTCGATGTTAATGGACGATCCCACTACCATCACGTGAACGACAGTATGAATGACGTTATAAACGAGTCACGTCTTGTGATCAACAGCTGCCACTCCGATGCAGCTGACCGACACATTTCACCCTCAGGAATCCAGAGCCCGAGTACTCTGCTTCCATCATGGAAGTAATCCAGATACCCTCTTATCAGTCGGGAATCCCGCCCACCAAAAGCACCCCCGTCCTCTAGCTAATACTTGCGAACCGATTGACTAACCCATCTAATCCCGCTATCTGTTTCTTCGTTCTTGATACGTGATCTAGAATTTTTTGTATAGATATATATAGATTTTAACGAAATTTAATGCTGTCCATCTGTGAAACGAGCGTTTGTGCGGCTCGGGAAATTGTATGTAATTGATTCGGAATGGTCAGGCAGGTTTGAGCGTATAGAAGAACTGTATTAAGTATAAAATATAATCGATCTCATCCAAATGTACTATATGTCCTTTTCATAGACAGAATGGCGGACGCAAACCGCAGAAGTCCTCGATGAAGTCTATGTCATCGTCTCTTCATGTAGACACCGATTGACACCGTATACTAGCTGAGCGTGCTGCCAATGCAAAGCATCCTGGACGGGGTCGAGGGAAACCACAGGTAATCAAATAGTATAATGTCCAGCTATTGTGGGAACGGTGAAGCTGATGATTCAAAGATAGTACATCATATGTATATGTGAATAACAAACAAGTCCACGAGCACCAAAGAGAGTTTAATAGCGAAAAAAAGATAATAATAGTAGTAGTAGAAGTAGTGGTAGTAATAATCATATCTTCATGACAGAACTGTCGAGGACCATTTGGGTCACTGATGATCACCGCTACAACGTATTAGTAGCAGCTCCGGGAAGGCCACATAAGGTAGTCGACAGGGGTACGCTTGCAATGGACAGCGGGAAAACAAGAGGCACTGGCTGAACTGCAGGAACTTCCAAGCATGTCGTTGAGAGGCTACGGGCGACCACGAACGTACCGGCGGCCTCCCTTGCGAAGATAGTTGATTACCAAAAATGAGGCGGGGGTATTGCGGACCGAACTGAACATCGTTCGTGTGTAGGCAATGGCCTTGGTTTTTGAACAAGGGTCTTTGAGTCTCCGTTGCCAATCCGGATGCTTCAGTCGTCTCCGATGGGGTGGTCCGGTTGGATGGAATCAACCTGATCGCGTGACGGCAGTACGTTCATAGAAGGGTGTTTGTTCAGTTAGATATTTGAGTCTGTTCGGGTACCGTGTTTAGAAGTCGCTAAACAAAGCCTCGTACTTTTTCCTCAGATCATCGGTATAAACATTCTGACTTCTCACGTCCGGATCGGGGTACTCTTCGAAGTTACCGGTGTCTGCAGGGTGGTCGACCCTCGGGATGATGGGCCCTTTGATACGGCGGTAAAACAAATCATCCCATTGTATGTCTCCAAAGAATGGATGTGACTTGACCCTGGCAGACCCTCCAGATATATACCCTAGGCGCTCCGTCGGATTGGTCTTGCAAAGTAAGGATATGATATTCTGGGCCGCTGGTGACATATTTTGAGGAAAGCGTATGCGGCCTTCGACGATCTGTTCGTATATACGCATGGGATTCTGGTCCCAGAAAGGCGGTTGCCCCACGAGAAACTCGTAAATGAGAATACCCAGGGCCCACCAGTCAACTGCAAGGCCATGGCCACTGTTATGAATTACCTCAGGGGCCAGGTACTCTGGCGTGCCGCAAAGGGTATAAGTCTCCCGATTCTCGACTTTCTTTGCAAAGCCGAAGTCGACAAGCCTGATGTGGCCCTCGGCATCCAGAAGTATATTTTCAGGTTTCAGGTCGCGATAAACAATCCCCTCTACATCGTGAAGGAATTCGATAGTAAGAGTTATCTCGGCCGCATAGAACTTAGCGGTGTTTTCGTTGAACCGGCGCGCGCGCGTAGGTAGCTAAATATCTCACCGCCAGGGCAATAGTCCAACTAAATATACGTTAGATCGTCACTATTGCTCCTCAAGGCACACGTTGGCGGATCGGCAACGAGGCGGTGTCAAAACTGAGGGGGCAAAAATGAAAGCGCCTGGGGGCCCGTACCAACATGTATAGACTTTGGTCGTCGGAAAAGGAGGCTATCAGCGTCGTTATGAAAGGGTGGCCGGCAACCGCCGAGAGAGTCTTGCGCTCATTGCGCACATGTTCAACCTGCTTCAATTTGATCACTAGCCCACCAAGTTAGCCCGCAGAGTGCAGACGTGCACGTCCAGGTAGTCTCACCATCCGCCTTTCGTAGTATTTTGAGTGCATACACTTTATCTCTCTGTCGTATCTCGTCCTTCAACCTCACTAGCCATACCCGAGCGAAAGTGCCTTGTGTTAACAACAGTCTTACTGTTAGTCACTGACCATGCCCACCCAGATCCAGCAATGAGTCTTACCAGTCCCGAGGGTTTTCAGAAGTGCAAAGTCATCAACTGTCAAGGTGCGGGTAGACACGCCTAGTTGTTTTTCCTCCGGCCGCTCGGTGATGACGAAAGGACTCCGATGTCGTTGGTGCGGCGGGCGAATAGCAGCCACCATCTGTTTTTCTTTCTCGTGAACATTACTTGACCCCGTATCGCTGTCTCCGGGAGGGGTCGAGGTCCCTTGTACGTCCTTAGGGGCCGAAGGGTCGACCGTTCCTGTAGCCATGGGGATGGGGAAGGATCATGTCTCGGGGAAACCGCAGGAATCCGAATACCCCAATGGGGGGAGGGGGGAGGAGCGGAGCACTTTAAATGACAATTGGGGAACTGAGATGCTCCCTAAAACCAAGACTAGAATGCGATGTAATCGTAATATTCCATTGGGTATGTATTGAAGGTACGGAAGTGGCGCGGTGGGGGATAGCGAAGATTAAGGCGATTGCGGGATGAAAGGAGCTGTGGTGAGGTCGTTCTTCTCCGTCGGCGGCGCTACGGGAGACTCTGACGTTACCTACCGACTGGCGGGGCAAAACCCGCGGCATGGGCGCGAGGTCAAACCCCCCATGAAGTAAGTCGGTCGCATCCCCTGTTACCCACGTCCCGAGTTCCGGTCTTTTGTTTTCATATTTGCTCTGATTATGTGAAAGAAGCAAACAGAGGAACTGCATTCACTTAAAAAAGGTAAAATATTCAATATAGTCATTGTTATCCAAAGCGTGCAGGCATATACTAGTACAGAAAGTCTCCCGAAGGCTAAAAGGTGATGATGTTCTAACCGGAATACCCGCGGGGACATTCAAAGCGTGGCCACAAAAGGAGGAGCAGACCGCTGCTGCCTTCGCGGTTGTCTAAAAAAAAAAAAAAACCCATGGTCCTAAGGGATGGGCCCTTGGTATAAAAGCGGTTCAAGGAGGCTGGTAAAGCAGTCAAGTGCAGTCGCCAACATATCGGAATATCAAAATGTAATGCTTAACTCAGTTTAAGGGTGGCTCTTCGAGTTCAGGATCAGGCCCACGATAAGTCTATCACAGTTAGCATCAGATTCATATTCATGTATGACAATAGTCACATACCCATAGAGACCAAGAACTTCGCCGAAAATTAGGATGAGAATCATTCCGACGTAGACCCGAGATTGCTGCAGGTACGCACGCACACCCTTGGACAGTTGTTAGACGTATATAGACGTACGCATAGCCGTGAAAAGACTGCTTACCGCATCTCCAACAATTCCAATAGTGTATCCGGCAGCCATGCCTGCGAGGCCAACCGACAGTCCTGATGCAAGGTGCATGAACCCACTTTGTGTGCCGTTAGCATACTACTTCCAGACTGAGACGCAATTCGCAAAATTGCACGTACGTATATAAGCTCATCCTTTGTAGCGGAGGTGGTTGCATGTCCTGTGCGATGAGGACTGCAATGACAAGGCCGTACACCGCGATAATACCAGACATAACGACCGGAACCAACGACTATTTCGGTCAGCAAGACAGAACAACCATATCGCTAGATATTTAGGGAGCAAATGTCATTCATGCCTTCATGATGAGATCCGACCTAAAAGTTCCCACTCCCGAGATACCAATGCCGGACTTAGCGGTTCCATATGCTGCCCCCATTGCTTGAAATGTGTAAGTATCCCAATCTCGCCGTATAATCGCTAGTATTCAATGCTCAAGTGTGGACATACATCCGAAGATCATCTTTCGAAAGGCCGTTAGCGTACAGTCAGGTGTCGAGGCACGTTCACGGAGTACTCACAGCTGCAGCTATCCCTGCCTACAGACAAGAAGTCAGCAAAATCCCAGGGTATCAAGGATGATCGCGCCGCAAGTCATTTCACCTACAAAGGAGAAGAAGGGGGCGAACTTGGGCGCCAACTCGCTGTCCACCACCATGGTGATCGGGTTGTTCCGATGGTGAATGGAGATGATGAAAGGACAAAGAACCGGAGAGAAGAGAGGGGAAAGAGGCAAGACGAGAAATGAAGTGAGCCTCAATGAAAAGAAATGCAATCGAATGCACGCGACGAAGAAGACACTCAGTTGAGAACCAGAGTCGTTACAGCTCGGAAGAACATCAACTGGAAGACTACCGGTCTGGTAAGGCGGATGTTGTCCGTACCAAGTTGCTCGCGCGGGCCACCGTACCAGCCGCAGACAGCCACACTCCTGGCCTATCCGGGTTAAGTCTGACATGTGCCTGTTCAACCCAACAACCCCCGTGCTTTTCCATCACGGACGGACCATTCTTCACCACTTTCCCATACATACTCCCCTTCTCAAATACCCTCCACCCCCCGCTCCTCCCCTCTTCCCCCAACTTTTACCTAGTCTGGCCCCTTCTCTTGTCACCCTCAGTCCGGACTCTCATTTATCTCGCCTCGATCAACCAGCCCGAGGGAGGATGCTAAGGCTATGAACTTACAGGGGGCCCTGGCTTGCCGTTGCGCTCAAGGCTCCTTAGTAGCGCACTTCCATCGTTGACACACCACGCGGTCTTGTCAACGCCTTCCTCCACGGCTTTGAAGTCGTCTCAGGACCGAAGCCTCCCCATTGAGGCATGATACGCTCGGGGCTAAATTGTGTTTAGGAGATTTCTTACTGAATTTTATTCTTGTCTTTTATTTGATTATAAATTATCGTCTGTGGAGTATCTCTTTCTCGTTCCTACATTTCTTTTTCCTTCTCCCCTTGTCCCTCCTCCTTTCTCCACGATTCCCAACGATCATCTCGCGACGCTCTGCACGTTCTCTACGACCGGTTCCGATACCCTTTCGTTACATCAGGGCTCCAATTCTCTCAGCCCTCCGGTATAATCGCTAGTCGTCATATTATTCCTCCAGTCTATCCGAATAAATTTCGAAATCAGAGCCAAAGAGGTAAAGAGGGGAAATCAACCATGGCCGATCTTGGGGGCCATCAAGGCCGGAACTACCGGCCTTACGGACATCCTTCATCATTCCAACGAGATGCTGCATTTTCTGAGATCTTTGGTGGGGCACCACCACCTGGCCGCTCTCAGACAATGACTTCGCAAACTCCTCAATTTTCTCAAGACAGGGCTCACACTATGTCCTCACACGTGCCGCATCCCCAGATGCAGAGAGGTCCTCCACCGCCGAACCGCCAGGTGCCGAATGGACATCCAGCGGGTGCCCCGAATGGATATTATCAAGCGTACCCTGGGTCCACAACTGTGACTTCTCAATCTTCCCAGAATCCTCCGCGACCGTACCCTGGACGCTTCGCTTATCCTCAGCCCCAACGGTTAGACTCAAGGCCGAGCCCAGGAGCACAGTATCCGGATGCGAAGGGATACAGCCGGCCAATGCCGCCTCCTGCACTGAATTCAGATGCTTACAGATCAAGGTCAATGGCAAGAATGGGAGGACCGCCCCTATATCAACCACCACCTAGTAGCTTTAATCATACATCTGCAAGCGCTTTCCGCCAGCAGCCGTACAACGCCGCAGCCCCAATGACCGCACAAGGACGAGTTGTGCCGGAGAGGCATGGAAACGAGCGCGCTATGTCATTAACTTCATATTCGACTGATCGCCCGGACTACAATCATACCACAAGCACAGGGAGAGTGATCCCTGCTCGAAGACAGCCATCGGGCTCTAGCCAACCGCCGCTTTCTCGACCAGACATGGACCCAGCCACCGCCCATAATGTTGATGGCAAGCCACGGCCACCAAGTGATGGTTCGACGACATCCCGCTCCATGTCTATGGCTTCGACGGTAATGACAGATCGAACAATGAGTATGCAAAGCCAGACGCCTTCCAAGGCCACTAGTCAGACAACTCTTACGGCGAGCAACTCCCGTAGAAGCAAGGTGCCATTGGTCTATCCAGCTTTGCTTTCGCGGGTTGCCGATGCCTTCCGCGAGAAGATTGTACTTGCCGAGCGTCAAAAGAACGGACTTTCATATCAAAACTCCTTTTCTGGCGCAGATGCGGTAGACTTGATTAGCTACATCATTAAAACGAACGATCGAAACCTAGCTCTTCTTCTAGGGCGTGCCCTGGATGCGCAGAAGCTTTTCCACGATGTGACATACGACCATCGTCTTCGAGATTCTCCTGGTGAGCTCTACCAATTTAAAGATGGTATGGGAGAGGAAGCGCCCAGTCCTGAAGTCAACGGAGTTTTCACCCTTCTGACTGAGTGTTACTCCCCGACCTGTACTCGCGACAGTTTATGCTACTCAATTGCGTGCCCTAGAAGACTGGAGCAGCAAGCACGGCTGAACCTCAAACCGCAGCCAGGTTTGCGGACGTCTGCGTCTAAAGGAAGCTTACATGGAGACGATGACGATAATGACAATCAGAAATTATGGATTAACATGGTTCCAAAGGAGGTCTCGGATAGCATCGATGATCGCGAAAAGAAACGACAAGAAATCATCTTCGAAATTATGTACACGGAACGCGATTTTGTCAAGGATTTGGAGTACCTGCGAGATTTTTGGATGAGGCCTTTGCGCGGTGCTGGCAACACAAATGTCTCACCCATTCCAGAACACGGCCGCGAAAGGTTCATTCGTACAGTATTTGGAAACTGCTTGGAGGTTTTGAAAGTTAACAGTGGCTTGGCTGAAGCTCTCAATGCCAGACAAAAGGAAAGCCAGGTAGTGAAAACAGTTGGCGATATATTCCTTCAGCATGTTCCACGGTTTGACCCGTTTATCAAATACGGTGCGAATCAGCTCTACGGAAAGTACGAGTTCGAGAAAGAGAAGGCGTCTAATCCAGCCTTTGCAAGGTTTGTGGAAGAGACTGAGCGTCTAAAGGAGTCACGAAAGCTAGAACTGAATGGATACTTGACCAAACCCACCACCCGTCTCGCAAGATATCCACTACTCCTTGAACAAGTTGTGAAAAACACAGCGGATGACAATCCTGACAAAGAAGATATTCCCAAAGCTATCAAGATCATCAAGGATTTCTTGTCCCGTGTCAACACCGAGAGCGGAAGAGCTGAGAACCATTTTAACCTCGTTCAGCTTAACGGAGCTCTAAAGTTCAATCCTGGCGACTATGTCGACTTGAAACTTAAGGAGGAGAACCGTCAGATGCTGACAAAAATGGCTTTCCGAAAGACACCGACTGACACCTCCGAGGTCACTGCATATCTTTTTGACCATGCTGTTTTGTTGGTGAGAATCAAGGTGGTGAACAAGCGTGAGGAGTATCGAGTTTATCGGAAACCAATTCCTCTGGAACTCCTCGTCATTGCGCAGATGGATGAGGTTATACCCAGGGCGGGAATCGCCAAAAGACCATCATCTAGTCTACTCCCGAATAAAACAGCCGCGAATCCGCCAAACACGAAAGATGGACTTCCTATCACCTTCAGACATCTTGGCAAAGGCGGTTACGA